TTAATGTTAATGTTAATGTTAATGTTAATGTTAATGTTAATGTTAATGTTAATGTTAATGTTAATGTTAATGTTAATATGTATTGCAATAACGATAACCAATCAAAAATAGACACCATGTGAAACAAATTTTGAATAACGATAATTAATTTACGCCCGAGCACAAAAACGTACTGTACACCGATATATACCGATAAAAAGAGGATATCTTCAACCACAACGGAATTTCTATAATAGAAATTGGTTGACTGAGGACGTTCGCAATAGTCCCGAAAATAGAGGCTAACTATTTTCCAGAAAGCTTGTTTCACCAGAGATTCTTTAGACAAGTTATTTTTTGGTAATATCTATGAAAATATAAGAAATTTGAGAAAAACTCAAATTCCAATAAACCAAAATTATATTAACAAATGTATTTTGGTCCAGGTCTTGCAAGCGAGGAGAAAATTATGAATAAATTACAGCAATGTCATTAGAATACGTTTATTTCTTATAATGCAATCATAGCTATAGATTTTTCTGTTACGTATGATGAATTCTAATCTGATAATTTTTCTTTATCTTTATAGTAAACAAAAGAATATTTCTAGCACGGTTACGCAAATCACTTTCATTCATTGGAATAGGAATCGGTAAGCATATCTCAAAACTCGAAAAATCCACCAAAATTAAACCATTTTTTGACCATCGCAACAAATAAAACAGCAACAACCCAACTATTCCGGCTAAAAGAAAACAAGTTCGGAAAACCACTGGGAATATGTTTTTTACTGCTCGGAATACTCTTTCTAGTGCTTGGCATCATACGGTTCTTTATCGCGCAGAATGTGATGACGCATGGTCAATTTCCTGCTAAGCGTGGTATGATGATGACTGTGATTTTGACTATGTCTACGTTGTCTGGGTGTTTGGTGGTAATTTTGGTGGGGCATTATCGTTAAACGATCAATTTCGATGCGATATATTTTATTAATTTACGCTTCAAGATAAAATACATAGGGAAGATTTAACATATCTGGATTCAATCACACTATTTCAAATACTCCCTTAAAAAAACTCTATTATTAAATAGGGATATTTTAGCAAGAGAAAATTTATGAAGCTAGTATTAATAAATCAAGTAATTAATTTAATGATTGTTACTTTGACAAAATACTTTTTACTATCTCCTAACCGAAGATGAGTGCAGTAGCGTTTTTTGAGGAGGGAATTTGAATGAGATCGTATTCTATAATGTATGCGACTGACTTGTTTTTCAGTCACTATAAGTTGCTATCGATTCGATTCATGAAAATAAACAAGCATATGTACTTGGCATCGAAAAGCCTCTTATTTTTACTATCTGTACATTATAAAATCAAATCAATCACATCGATCCTTCAAAATCAGTGATCAAAATACTTTATCCCTATTATTTATATTCATTACAACAACACCTGCCTGTGCATTTCTAAAAAAAAAATACCTCCCCAAACTTCAAAACAAAAAAAATTGAATTCGTCAAAAATATGCGAAATCCATTTAAAGCACCACAAACAAGCACAAAGTGGGAGCAACGAATTCGAATTTTGACATTACTCCTGCTATTCGGGTTCCTCATCTATTTATATTACTTGAATATTCACAAATTTACTACGGCAAATAAACGTCCGTTTATCGAATCGAGTGAACGAGTACAGAACGCCTTTCATATTCCTGGTCTTGTCGTTTGCGGACCGAATATTAATGCTAGACCAAAATGTGCGTATGGATTGTGGGGTGATGAAACGAAGCAAGAATGTGATGTAAGGTGGTGGAAGAAGGCTCCGTTGACTTTGTTTCAGAATGTTTACCCTGATGCTGTCGGTGAAGGTTAGAAATGTAATTTAATGAAAAAAAAGAAGTTTGTGTTATCATAGCTCATCACACATCTTTTTTGCTCTATCAAATGTTTATTAGAGTGGTATTCGAACGCAAAAGATTGTTTTGTTTTCGTTCCTCCAGACTCTTTTCAATTTCGACCAAAAAAATTCGAAGAATTGACTGTTCAAATATACTCGAATGAAACGACCACAAAAGCCTCACATTTGAATCGATGGGGTAACTATTCTACTTATTCATTTGAAGCAACAAAATTATATATATTGTTAATTCATTGTTGATAGTTTATTTTGGCATCTACTGGTCATGGCTTGGCGAGGACGCGAGATTGGCACGTGTAGAGTACCTTAATTTACCTGCGAAAATGTCTGTTACCTTATCGAGAAAAGAGTTTTTTCAAAGAGTAATTAATATTTGTGGTTTAACTTTTTTGCTAAGTAAATATCAAATTAGTAATTTTCATTTTTTTTGATAGAATGGTGTAATTCAAATAGTCTATGATGCGACGACGATAAAAAGACATGCACAAAGTTTCAAAAACGAAACAAATAAATGGGGCGAGATCAATTTGAGGTTCAACATTAATTCTTATTTTAAAAATACAAAGACAAAAACATTAATTATAATTTTTCAAAAGACCAGCATTCCACCCAAATAAAAATGGATACGTGATATCAGTCTATCGCGAGAAACCAAGTTTCGATTTCTTAGACCTTTTACCAGCTCTAAGCAGCTCTTTTGTTGTGGTTGTTGCAATCTATCAATTCTTTTTTGGCAAAAATCGGCTTGATCCTTACGGTGTAATGCAAAAATACGTATTTCATACTGCAGAAGCTGGGCACCCCTTACATCTAGGAAGTGAAGAAGGCGGGATAATGCTTGGTCGGATAATTGAATCTACACAGAATATTACACCGCCCAGAACTATAGCATCAAATGACCGAACCGGTTTTCGCAGAATACGCGACGACGAAGTACATAGCAGAAGAAATCCAAATCAACAGCCTTCATCCGGAGACAATGATGCACGAAATCCGAATAATAATCCTTTTGTAACCGTATTTGATGAAGCTGTTGACGAAGAAAATTCTTCTGCACCGCCTTCCGATGCACAGCAAACAGATGTTTCAGAGCGTATCACTGATTCTCAGATAGAGATTGCGTCGATAAGGCAAGAGATGCATAGTTGGGAGCGATTATTGCGTCGGTTCTTGGTGTTATGATTTATTGAGAGCAGTTAAAGTTTTTTTCAGTAATAGTTTTCGTAATTTTTGTATTTTTATTTGTATTTTAATATGCTCATTTATGGGCAAAAATAAAATTATAGTTTCGATTGCATAGATCAAAACGCCAGTTTTATTTACTGTAATATTAGTCAATATTAAATAAATTACCTCCATTATAATATTCGATTTTTCTTTTAGTATACCGTACTGTTCTGAAATAAGCACTCACATTTCAAATATTTTGCCAAATTGATTAGATTTATTCAAATTAGCTGGGTAAGTAGGCATTATTAGCATGTATCAATATGCTTCCAGGTGATGCATGAATTCCTCTTTATAATGTATTTTCGATTTTTTTGTGTTGAAATTAATATCCGAGTACGTATTCGTTTGTAACTAGGTCCTTACTTATTCCATAACGATAATATTCAACAACGGCGGCTTTACTGTACTTTAGAGCAGTAGAATCTATCGCTATGTTTCAAAACTTAGTTCGAAAACAATAAAATCAACTTGCATGCACCTCGTTTACCGATGTAATTTCTTTGAATCACAACACAATTTTCCTGGTTCATACAACCAAATTGCTCTTTAAACAGGATCCAACCAAAGGATATACACAAGGAACACGCGATCAAAAATTTTTATCTTTGTCAATATCAGTTCAAACAAAATAAAAAATACTCATTTTGAACCACAATACCTATAATATTTTTTTAAAAAATATTTTAACTACAGATTATTTTAGTCAATTTTGTAAAACTGGGTAATTTAAACTCAAAATTTCAATTAGTAATTTCTCACATTGAAAACTTTTTCTATGACGGATCCAAATTTGGACTACTATTTAAAAATGTTATATTCTACAAAATCCGCTTATGTACCGATTTTCACAAAAATTGGCTTAAAATTTATCGAGATTTAAGAACCTGAAGGTTCAAATCTCTGTTAGTAAATAAATAGTTGAATTAACGCTCCTAGCAGAGATTCGAACCTTCGGGATAAACATAATACAATACTAGAAAGAATCAGCAATCAAACGGATCTGGTACGACATCCCGAAAACCATAATCCCGAGAAGCCATAAACCCGACAAAATCTCGAATGAATAGCATACCGAATGAACGAAATCCCGAAAGGACGGCATCCCGAATACACGAAATCACGCATTTACTAATTCACTCCAGGTTTCTGATAATTTCTATCGCTGATTGGTTGACTGCACACCGGGTTTTCTAGATTAACCAATAAAAATGCATAGATTTTTGATCAGACCGGCAAAACAAATCCAACACAAAAAATTTAAAATGTGAAATATACGGAAAACGAATGCCTAAAATTGGCTTGAAGCTCTAATCAAAAATTTCGGGGAGGAAATTTTACATATAACCTTATCCTCAACCCTAACCCTAACCCAACGCTAAAATTAACCTTTAATATCCTCGACCAATCAGAAACCTGGGGGATTAGTAAATGCGTGATTTCGTGCATTCGGTATCGGTATGCTGTTCATTCGGGATTTCGTGCTTTCGGTATGCTGTTCATTCGGGAGTTCGTTTGTTGGGCTTATGTATTGTCGGGATTGTGGTTGTCGGGAGAGTACCGTAGCTATGGCAAAAAATGTCCGGGTCATGTAATTTTAAGGGGTAACGGTAAACCAATCAAATCGCAAGATATGAAAATATTAATAACGTTTCGGTTAGAGTTAGAGTTATATTGCACATACAAATATATAGTAAAATTTCGCAAGGAACATTTTTTGTTAAAACATAAATAGTAGTTTCATAGGCAAAATTTCTAGATACAAGCTATGTTTCAAAAATAAGCAGTTGTTTTTATTTTGAATTTTTTCTTTACACATTGATCTTGCGATTTGATTGGTTTACTCCTTAAAGTCACATGATCAGGACATTTTTTTGCCATGGCTAGGGTCTGATATATACCAAAGTTACAGTCATGGCTCGATTTACCGATGTGTCGGCAATTAAATTTCAAGATATCGTTGAAATGCTAAATTAAACGCGATTTCATTAAATCGCAATTGGGCCCTGACTGTATTTAAAAAAATGTATGACTACAGCAAATGAATTTTTAACCCTGTTCAAACGGACCAAGATCATTACGCATTCTAATCCTCAAAATAAGGCAAAATTACGCAAGCTTAATACTTAACATTATTCAAAAAAACGGAGGTTATTAAGAAAGTGGATTACTAACCCTGCAAAAACATCAAATTAACAGCAGCACTCTGCATTTAGTTCTCACTCTAATCTCCGTTTTCTTTGTGGATCTATATCAAGACACGCCTCCAATTTTTTATCTATCCCTCGTCACACTGTATCTAGTGTGCTTGATTAATATCTAGGATAGCGAATACAGTGTTATATGTAAACGTTTTGACATATAGATCATATATTGCGTTGCTCACCCAAATTACAGTGATAAATTGCGATGGTTGCATAGCTGAACAAGATTTTTTCCAAGTAGTATTAGAAGTAATCAGAAGTCCGATGAAAAATCGATGTATTTTTTTAGTAAAGCCATTCAATAAATAATCAGTAAATTATCTATTATAATTTCCTGTGGGTTAGATTATAAATGTACACTGCCCTTGCTGTATTATTCGCTATGTATCAGATGCCGTGTTGCATATACTAAGTAAGGTTACAAAATGGGAAAGACAATACGTATTATAAGTCATAATATAATTTTGCCCACGATAGTCCTATGTTATTATCTCAGCTTTAACCATCGCGAGAAACAATAAGAAAAAAGTTAGAAGAGTAGAGAAACATCTACCTACTAAAAAAAAAGCAACTACTCGTAATTACAAGAAATCTGTGTCCGTATTTGCGTCTTCTTTTGTGTAATGAAGGAAATGATATCAGCTTGAGATATAACAAAGGAACCAGAAGAGGTTTCATAGTGACTATCTACTACTACAACTAATTAACTACAAGAATAGCCAGACCAGAGCATCTACTCCTGTAACTACGTCGGCATTTTCTGTGACTACTTTGGAGCGCCTAGAAGCAGAAAATGAGGAGAGAACAGACATTACAGCTAAGCGGTTAACAATCATCGGAGAAACTAATAGTAATGATTAGGACAGGTCGCAGAAACGACTTAAATCTGATAATATACAGCTCCAGATCATCAACATACGTATTCTCTTGTGAGTTATCACAGCAGCGGAAAGATCGAATTAGTTAAAAATTTTACTTTGATGAGATTATAATTTTTCATGCGTAGTTCGAACTTTCTGTCCAACATTAATATTGGCAAATAGATGAGAGAAAGTTAGGTAACATCTAGTAATAATTACAAATTTGTTCAATTTTTGTTTTTAATTATCTGTTTTTTCTTTGTTCTAGATTACTAGGTGTACAATCTTTCTGAGAAGAAGAAGGTGGCGGTGCCGATAGTTACTGGGCACTTACTATCAGATGATTCGAGGCGATGGTTTTATTTTTTTGCCTATTTTTAATTACAGTATTTACGCGAATTTTGTTTTGATTGACCATTTTTTTCTACTCCTCTTATCGAAAAAAAATCAGAGCATCGTCAACTTCTTACGGACATACGCGTAATTAATACGATTGCGTAGAGGACTTGTGGTATTGAAGATATCCCGCAAGCCAAATGATTTCGACTGTGGCGTTTACACGCTTCTCTTCGTTGACTATCTTGGATGCAGAGTTTCACTGGCACAACACAACTTTTTCAATAACAACAACAAATTAATTAAAATTATCAACAATCAACAACATTTCCCTTACGTTAATTGAGCCACTTCCGGGGGTTAGACAACTAAGACGCGAAAGAACATCGTTAGCAATATACCTGACGACAAGAAATTGTTGTTGTCACTGTTGTTTGCTGCAGTAGTTTATATAGAAGATTGTAAAGGACATCGCTATTGTTTATTTTTGTAACTTGATTGGATTCATTCAGTACTTAAAGGTCATTGTTGTTGATGGATACATTCTGTACGATTCAAGAACATTGATTAGTTTATTTTGATTCAGGCTTTGCTGATACGGGAGAAAGTCTTTACCCGCATTTCAAGACAATAATTTTTATAATAATGATAATCGAAAAGGACATTTATAAAGTTGAAGCTTCGAAAAAGATTTATGTGATTCTATCTATTCGGTCGAGTAAAGAACCACGCGAGAGTCTAAATATCGTATATTATCATTTCATTGTATTTAACAACAAAAGGATCGTAGTTATCTATCTCACGTCTTAATTTCGTCTACATCGGTTAACCTTGCCAGCATCACCCGGCGAATGAAAAGTCATGTCAAAATTTAGGGAGAACACTAATTTTCGCAACAGACATTAAACCCGAACACAATGTACCGACATAAAGACATTATTTAGTCTGCGAACTTTTTGCCTAGATAAAAGTGATATCGGTATATGATATGATTACAAGCGTCCCTTATATAAGCACATCTTCCTATTTTCACCATCGCATGGCTCCGAGGAGGAGGACGACGGCATTTGGTAAAGATTCACCAAACTATGGTAGTGTACGGCAAGTGTACATTAATATCCACGGAGATACAATGAAAATGTACCATAGTATGACAGTAAGTTAATCACCACCGAGACATCATTCAATCCTTTAATTTTACAACTTCTTCTTGTATATTAATCACTTTCTTGAAGATAGACTATACGTTTGGTAACCTGCAATCAAAGATCTTCTCAAGAGCTTCTCCTGTCTAAGACAAACACAGCAAAAAATACTGAAAACACAACGTTATAAATGTTATGCTTCAGATCACAGCCTGTCTCAGGTAATGAATGCTTCACGTGTTTACCTTCAGCCTATCTCCCAGCCCTAACCCTAATTTAGTAGAACACCTATTATAATAGGGCTGAACCTCTCTACAAGCCCACTGTTTCTAGTTCACTAATTGTGAGTATTAAATACACGAATTCATCAAGTAATTACTCGTAGTTGATAATGAATTTTTTCAATATCA